AGCTCAACCTCAAGGACCAGCGCAGCCACAGCAGAATGGGATGCAGCCTGGCAACGGCGTCCAGAACCCGCAGGCACCCAACCAACCAGGCATGCCGCCTGGCATGCCGAGTATTCCAGCTCACATGATTCAGGTGACGCCAACTGATATCATGAACGCTCGCAAGGCGAACCCCAAGATTGCCAGCCTTACCGACGATCAACTGAGACAGTTCATCATACAGATCAAGCAAAGGCAGATGGCTGCCGCGATGCAGAAAGAGATGGCCATGCGCCAGGCTCAATCACAAGGGCTACCGGCGCCGGGAGGACCAACCATCCCAGTGTCTGCACCTCAACCATCCCAAATGCCACAGCCCGGTATACCAGCAAATATCACCCCGACGCCCGCTCAAGCTCCACCAGTACCGCCGAAGCAGCAGAGCGCAACTCCTGATCAGAAGGCTGTTGCCAACGCCGCGGCACCAAGGAACAATAACAATAACAACAACAACCGTCCGGCCTCGAGCAACCAAGCACAGCCTCCGAACCCCTCGCCTGCGACGCAGCAAAAGAACCTCAAGCGACCTAGCACTGACGAGCCTGCCGACGTCCCTCAGGCATCTCAGCAGCCTCAGAGGCCTACTGCTCAACCGGGCCAGATGCGCCCGTTCCCGAACTTCACCCCGGAGCAAATTGCGGCCATGAATCCCGAGCAGAGGGCCAAGTATGAGGCAATGAAGAGTCGCCAACAGGCTATGCAAGCTGCAGGCTCGGGCATTGCACCTACGGAGAACGACTTTGACAAGCTAAGGCGCATTGGTCAAGAAGAGCAGAGGTTGATGATGACGGAGCACATGCCTGATATTCCCATGCCACCAGAGCAGCGTTCAGAGACTTGCACCAAACTCATGAAGATCGTGGTCGACATGGGCAAGATTGGAAAGGCCCTGGGGCGCTGGTATGCCGCAACCCGTGATGATCAGCGTGCCAAGAGCTATTTCCGAGCTGTAAGTGGACAATCATGCTCGTTGCTGGCCTTTTGCATTTTACTAACATGATCCAGCGACTCCGGATGATCAGACAATTCACCGACGGTGAACACATGATGAACCCTAAGCCGGTCTTCAGTGTCAGGCCCGCCGAGATTGACGAGGTTCGTCGACTCCTCGAGAGCATGGCACGCGACTGTGCCTCCCTCGGCAAGAAGGCCGGTGCCGTGCCACCACAGCAAGGCCAACCCGCAGCGCCGAACCAGGCCGGTGCTACTCCTGCTCAAACCGGGCAGGTGACGCCATTGAGTGCCGCCAACTTGGAGAAGCAGACCAAGGCTTTGAATAATATGCACCAGCGGTCCAACAGCAAGAGCGGGGCCCCCCCAGCTGCACCAACGACGAGCCAGCCTCCATTCCCGTTCAACGCAACCTCTCCGCATGGCGATCCCACTTACATGGACAGGCCAAAGGTGAACAGGGACAACCTCAAATTGCCCAACCCGCGAAAGAAGGCCAAGACTGGGGCTCAACCGACACCGCCCCAGCAGCCAAGCCAGACAACCCCGTCGCCCCAGATCAGCAAGTCTGGTTCCCCGGAGCTCAAGAGGCAGGCCATGCCCGAACCCAAGGCGCCGCCGAAACCCATGTTCTTGTGCCCCGAGGCAGACTGCGAGATGGCGACAACAGGTTTCCCTTCAGAGCAGGCGCGACAAACGCATATCCAGGAAGAGCATGTCAAGCCTCTGGAGGACCCCATGAAGTTCATGCAAGAGAACTTGGCTCTTTCTTTGGGATTGGATGCCAACGGTCAGGTGCCAGTCACTGCACAGCCAATGGGCCAGAACGCATCGAAACAAGGCCAAACACCAGCCAGCAATCCAGGTGCGACGCCAATGTCTCGCGATGCGTCGATGCAGCGTACGGGCAGCAAGATGGGAGGGAAAGCACAGGACAACAAGCTTGCGGTTGGCAAGACGGACAACACTCCCAAGATGGAGCACAAGCAGCCGGAGATGGCGGCCGCACCGGCTCCGGCGATGGATGCGTGGGCAACAACGATCAACCCACAGAGCTTGTTCAACAACCTCGGCAAGTTCGAGCTCGGTGCCAACGGCGTCATCAGCGACATGGCCGTGTACCGGTCACAGACACCGAACGATACGCCCGAGTCGAGCAAGGACAGCGGATCATCGGAGCCCAACAGCGATATTTCAGAGGGTGTCCACTTGGACATTGACCTCAACTGGCAACCAGTCGACATGGACGTGCTTCTCGATATGAACAACATCAACATGGACGGACTTGACGGCGGGGCTGAGTTTGAGGGGCTGATGCTAGAGGAGGCGATGCCGATGGAGCAGTTTCCTAACTGGGATGAAGTGACGAACGACTTCAATAAGCCGTTCCAGTTCGACAACAGCCTATACTCGCTCGATGTCTCGTCGTCAATGTAAGGAACAGAGACAAGGGGGCAAAACGACAAAGAGGAAGCAGAGAGAGGGTTAAAAAAAAGAAAAAGTGACCGACAAATACGATGGAAAGCGGATGCTGGATACCCCCGGGAGAGAATTCCACGAATGACGACCAGCCGGTTCATTATATGGGTGGGCAAGGTTAGCATTGGGAAAAGCAAAGGAAAGGATTCGGCGTTCCTCTGGCAGGGTTGCAGACTGGCTCAGTGTGCAGGCTCTGGGCTGGCCTCTTTTTCAAGCGTTTGTCGTTTTTTTTTTGGGTTATTTTTTGGGTATACGGAGAAAGTTCTTTGAGCAGTCGTGGCATGGACACTATTTGCTCGGTGTGTGGACTGGGTGGTTTGAGGGCGCGACGAAGATGATTATTTTTCACTTCTTTTTTTTCTTTTGCTGTCTTTTGAAGATTATTTCATTTGGAGAGACAGCTACTTCTACGCGTCGTATGTATCGAAGGGGGGGAGGCCGAATTGTTTTAGTTAGTTCCCTTGGCGAGGACGAAAGCGTCAGCGCAACTCTCGCAAGGGCGAGAGGAATGATACCCGAGTTTACAAATGAGCGTGTCATGAGACTGTGATGATGAGATGTTGCCATGCTCGAAAGTGTCGTGAGAGGCCTGAAGCTACAAACAAGAAGGTTTGGGTTGGAAATAAGTGGAAGATGACAAGAGGGAGGAGGGAGGAGGAGCCCATGCCAATCAGCGCCAGTGTCAACGCCAACGACGCGTGGTGGTTGATATTACCCCCAATTAACTAAGAGTGACGGGAAGGATATCCGTAGGTCGGTTCTTTAGGACGGTCGGGGGGGGGGGGGGAGGTGTCACGTCGATCCCAGCAGCGTGGACCCTGAACGGTGCGTAGCCCCCCGGTACCTGCATTTTCATGTTTCGTTAGCGCTAGGCCAGATGCGATCGACGGGTGGCTAGGCGGACCCTTGCAAACCTGGAAAGTTGCAACGCGCCTCTGGGGACTTTCAGGTGTTGGTGTTGGTGTTGGTGTACAGTGCTTATGTAAGCCGCGCTCTGGAACACGGTTGTATTCGTAGTCCTAGGTGCTGTAAAGCACTGTAAGATGCCCGCATTCTGGAAACTCTCAGCGGTGCAGCGTGTAAAGGTAGTTAGGTAAGGTAGGTGACGGGATCCGACGAATGCAGTGACGTGCCGCGGGCGGGTTTGGGACCTTGACGCAGCAGGGGTACGCGACCAAAGATGCCAGCCACCAAACAGGGGGGGGGGGGGAGGCGAGGGCGATGAAGCGGGCCGCGAATTTGGGGCGGTTTCTTTACACTACCTCATGTACTTCTTTTTTTCTTTCTTTTTTGCTAGGCGTACGCAGTACTTCGATCTTACAGTGAGGTTCATGCAGTGAAGAAATCGGAAAAGTGCGCTACTGCCGCGGGCTACGCGGTCCCTGAGACGCTACCATTTCACATATTCCTTCCTTCTCAGACAAACGGTCAAAAGGTGCATCGCACCACCCTTTTACGCGTCTTTGTCTGTGTGTGACACTGGATCATTATCATATTCCACGGAATACCTACCTAACCAACACACATTGAATCGTAAACGACTTTGCTTCCCCCCCCCCCCCTTTTTTTTTCCCCCTTCCCCCCTTGGTTGTGAGAAATTCATCTCTTCTCCCTAACGTTCTCAAAAGGGTCAAGGTTTTGTAACGTTGAGCACTAGAACATCAGACGTCAAATGTCAAACGTCAACAAACAGTCGTTGCTGTTATTTGTTTTGTTTAGAAAAAAAAATACAAACGCACGGGCAGTGGACGGGACGGGAGACAGCAAGCACCTAAGAGGCTCAGTTGCCCCCCCCCCCCCCGTTCAGTGGGTTGGCTACCGCATTCTTGTGTTGCTACAGCTGCACGCGGGCGGGAGCCGTTCTTCGTTCGTTCGGGTTAGGTTTAGGCTTGGGCTCAGAGGTACAGATAGGTACCTTAACACTGGACGTGGACGGTGGACGGTGGACGGGCTCTTGGGCGCCTTTCTCCTACCTTAATCCCCAGCACCCCCCCAGCACAGCACGTCGCCCAGCTCCGTACACGGCACGCCGCGAAACACGCTCCGAGAAAGTTCGCTTGAGAGCTTTTTTGTAAATTGGCGATTTGAGTGGGAATAGCAACTCTTCCCTCTTCCCCTTCCTTTTCCTCTCTCTCTCTCTCTCTTTCTCTCTCACTCCCTTCTCCGTATCCCCTCTCTCTCCGCGTGCACTTCTACTGGGTATTACCTGGGGTCTTTTTAGCTAAGGTGCTTTACTCACACAAACCCTCCTCATCCCTCCCCCCTCCTCCACACCAACACGCTCTTCCCATCCCGTCAAACTACCCTACCCACCTAACCTCCAATCAACCACTACGAGGATCCAGACCCCCAACTCCGTCCTCTTCCCTCCCTTTCCCTTCCCCCTAAGCTCCCTTTCCTCCAAAACTTCAACGGTGGTGCAGGAAAAGGAAAAAGGAAACATCAGGTATACACATAACACGGTCTTTACCACCCATCAACACAAACACGCATACACACGGTACGCTCCAACGTACAGCGAAAAAAAGATCATGGACCCCTCATCGCCAGCAAAGAGACGCGCCCTCGCGCCCCTGGACGCGAACGTGAACGCGATATCGTCGCCCACGAAGCTGCACAAACACTCCAAGCTGGGGGCCGCGCCTCAATCACCGCGTAAGAGCAGCAGCAGCAGCCCCATCAAGTCTCTCAATCTCAAAAGGTCCTTCGCCGCTGCCGCCGTCGACATCTTTGACGAAAACGCACTCGTTCCTAAGAAGAAGCAGTGCCAGGAGCCCGCCTCTGCTGCTGTTGGTTCTGATGCTGCTGCTACTACTACTACTACCGCTGCACCCGTAGCTGTAGTTGCACCTGCAACTACACCTGCGCGAGAAGTTGCATTGGCATCTGAAGCTACTTCACCAGTCACTGCTATTCCATCCGCATCCAGGGCCGCACAGACGGAGATGGAGATGGACGTTGATCCCGATGCCACGGAGGTGAGAAGATATCTCAAAAAGGTCAATTGACAACATACATTGGATCTAATGTACTGACACGCGTGCCATTGACAGACCCAGAGCGAACAATCAGAAGAGCAGAACCAGCAAAGCGAACAACAACAACAACAACAACAACAACAACAACAGCCAGAACCCGAGGTGCAGGGCGAGAACGAACTGCTGCCAGAACAGCAGCAGGATGAATCGCGGCACGAGACACCGCGAACCCGCTCCGCGTCCCCCGACACGTCGGCCGTGTTCGACACCTCGGCCATGGACACGTCCCAAAACACCACCATCCTCACCGAGCCCGACGCAGAGCAGCAGGCTAGGACCCTGCCGCCGCCGAGGCCGAGGAGGTTATTGACCCGCGAGGAGGCGCGACAGGTACGACTTTTCTTCTTCCCATTGTAACCCTTCGTTGTGCCGTATGGTTATATTGGGTCGATATTTTCAAGACAAGATTTCTGACTTTGATGGTCTGGTGTTATAGAAAGCTCGGATCCTTCGATTGAAACTCGGACTTGCGAATTACAAGCTCCAGACGGGACAGGAGAACGTGCCGCTTGACAAATTGGAGGTGAAGCCGCGACCGGGGCAGCAGCAGCAACAGCCGGAGACGAAGATGCAATCGCAGACGACGGAGAGGGCCCTGCCGACGGTCATGGTGCAGCCGCCTTCAAGCCGTGATGGTCCTCCTGAGAAGGACGCCGAGGAGGTCGTCGAGGAGACTGAGACGGACGAGCCCGAGCAAACGCAGGGGTCTGACGAGGCTGAAGTGGCGGCGACGCAGGCGCAAGAGAAGGAACCTCGGACCGTGGTCGGCGTGCTGCCGCGTCTGGAGACGGATGCCCTCAAAGCTGGTGGGGGCGACGGCAACGATGAGCCGACGAGTGCTGTTTCGGGTGGGATCGTGAGCAGTCTTCTCAGTTTGGCGAGGGGATCGTCTTCCTCAGTTTCTACTTCGTCATGACGTCCGTCGGTGGTGGATGAATATATATACCTGGGTTTTTGGAGTGGTGAAAAAAGGCGTTTTATGTTGGGGAACTTGCATTGCATCGTTTCGGCTCGACTCATCGTCGACCACCCCGCGTCGGAATTTTTTCTATCTTTTTCTTTGTTTTTTGCATGATGTTTCGTCGCAGCAAACGGGTTGATGATATTACTGCGCCATTATTATGGTTCAGAAAGGAGGTGGGAAAGGGGAGACTTGTGGTCTATCTGAAGATGGGATTGGAATGCATCCCAATCTTCAGATCTGGTTCCCCTTGGGCATGGAGGAGGGAGAGCCTGATTTATTGTCAAAGAGTTAATCGCTGGGCAAACTTGTACGCACCTCATGATGGAAGGATGGTCACCCTTTTTGTTTGTTTTTTTTTGCACTTTTTTGCACCCCAAGCTGAGACGCATATTGGGTTTGAGTTTGTCAGCTTCGCTTCATGTCGGAAGCTGCGAAAACTACAGCATGAGGAAACGGCGTTATGGGCGCTCTTATTACCTTGATTGAGAGCTAGAGCTAGAGCTTGAGCTGAAAATGCCGGCGAAAGCCAAAACTATGTTTTTGTCTGCATGAACGAAAAGTTGCGTTATTGGTTTATTTGCATGATGAAAAGCGACTGAAGTTTTGAATGTATAGATCTAGCTGTGATGAGGTCCAATGATGTGACTTTCTGAGATGATGCTGTGAAATATCTCTCGGGCTTGTCGGGGTTAGGAGGTAGACTAGTCGACCGGGGGCGGGAACGGTGCGGGGGAGGCGGAAGTGAGGGAGAGCGGGGCTTGATGAAGGCTTGGTGGGGCCGTGTCAGACACGGATACGGCATTGAGGTGGGGTCTGTTCCGGTTTTTTTCGGGGATCGGCGTACTTGGCTCGGCACGATCGACGCGGTGGTTGGCAATGAAGCTTACATTGGTGGAATAGCCGATTCGAGGCAAATGGGATAAATGGTGTTCCAAGGGGTTTGTTATGTGTTGTTGTGTTTTGCGAGTGAGGTTTTCCCTCGAGGTAGGGGTATGTCGGTTTGCATGAGGGGTTTGGGTAGCTACTTAGTAGGTAGGGAAGCTAGGTCAGATGCGGCCCACGATAGATAATAGCAAGTATTGGAGCGGTCGCGTTGGCTGATGTTGTTTCGTTGAGCGGTTCCTCGTCACCCAGGCATATAGCTGGTTGGTTTATGCGTAGTGTCGCTATCCTCTTAGTTAGCGGTATGCCGTTATTTAGTGGGCTGTTGAGGAATGGTATGGGATCTTGTAAACGCGAATTAGCAATTCGTCTACTTGCTTTTGTTCCTTGATAGAACCAGACACGGTACGTGTGGTCCCATTGGCGGTGGGACTGAATCAGCAGCTAGTCTTCCTCTTTGGCTTAGCCTGGGATCAAAGGTAGACACCCGATTGTAAGTATACCATAGGCTGGGCCAGCTCACGCTTGGTGGGATTCGGCAATGTCCTCATCGACCAACGGTATCTCGTTGGATGACAATGTGGTGATGAAATTTTCGACGGTCTGGAGATGACTTGGATTCTTGGGCCCAAGTCCGACACAACAAACACGTAGGTCGGGGTCCTCTATCTAGCCGCCATTTTTATATAGTTTCTTTCTGGTGTATGTATTGGCGTGAATACGTTTAGGATAAATATTAGAGAGTAAGGGGGCAACAACTCTTTTGTAGTAGGTACTTATGCTTCTATATCCCCGTTACATGAACGATAACCACAAAAACGAAGGTTGCTTTGGCATACTAATATTCACAATGCCTCTATCTTGAGCATACGACAAACTTGTCAAGCTTGCAGGAGGTAAATCTACGAATGATATCATCAATAAATGGACTCGAAAATGCCACGAAGAGGGGTGGCGAAGCTCGGTTTCGTGTAAAGATAGTCGCCCAGAGGAAGATGCAAGACAAAAGGGCAAGACTGAAGAAGCTACGATTTCTTCCTCGCCGTGTCTCTTGTCGACGTTCAATACATACAGCCGGCGTGCGCGCGGTGGTGGATGAGGTTCATTGAACCTTCTCAGCGGCAGAAACCTATGATCTCCAAGAGAGGGATTTTGAGCAGTCGGGGCTGTTCTTTAGATGGAGAGGTACTTTGCCGTCGGGACCTGGAAATGACAAGCTGTTTGGGTAATAGGTTCCATGTCAGAAACATGTGTACAGAACCAGGCAATTGGAAGACAGTCTGAGCCGTTCGGGGCGAAGTTGCCTCTCTCCTCCTTTCGTTTTCCGGTTTAGGGTCGGATCCTCAGAGACGAAATGCAGGCCGACATGGCCCATGTCTCTTATAGTCCTGGTTCGCTTTGGGAGTGATGGGGATGGGTGCCCTTGTAAAGAGTGATTGGGACACTGGAAGGGGACGTGTGTGGAGTACCGGGTCGGTTTTAGAACGGGCGGCTGGCAGTTTATATTCTGGAGCCTTGGGGAACGGCTCTCGCCTTAGCTTTTTTTTTTTTGCTCTGGCCATTCTTTCCATGTCAAGACGCATCGTGGGCTGGCTATTGTGGTTGAATTGCCCGTCTCTGTGCGTCTTCAATGTGTTGTGCGAGGCTTACGTGTAGGCATGGTAATGCCTTTGTGGCTTCTGTATAGCTTGAAGCAGCCAACTGAAGATGAACGGTGAGACACTCTTTTCTGTAGTTTTACGATTATATAAGTACCTGAGAACGTGCAACATAGAACACTCGACATGGAGATATCCTACTTATTCTTTTCGAGACCGAGAGTGGAACCGGAATCCAGATAGCACAAGCAACTTATTATCAAGCAGGCTATAAAACGTCTATTTAAGCTAGAGAGCATACTGACTTATCAACCAGTCACTCACTCCCTAGCATATATACATAAGAGAATAGGCAATGAAGGTTGACGGAGTGTATTTAGATGAATCTCTTTCTTGTGGTGGAAAGGAGTAACCTTAGGAACATGCATCGGTAGTGCTCCAAGGGACGATTTGTCCGCCACCGACGCAAATTCGACACCCGCAGCTCGCCGGGATATTACGGAAGCATCAAGAGCTTTGTATAACCTCCGAAGAAGTTGGAGATTCCCGTCAAACGGCACGAGAGAAAAGAAACTTTTAAAGTCGTTACAGGCCTAGTTGGCCGGAGGGAGCGGGGTTCTCGTCAGTTACATCCGGTGCCTGGACATGAGCACCAGAGCCTTGGTGAAGGTAAGATATTTGAATATTTGGTTGACATTTGGTATTATATTTCATGCAGCGGTTTTGCTGTTGCAGAGCATGGATAGCTGCCATGTGCAGGGCTGTCTAGAAGGTGCGCGTCAGCGGAGCAGATGAGCTTTATATGCATTTAAAAACTCACTCGCGAGAATGTAAGCTTCGTCAATAATGAGATGATGGCACTTTCAATTCAATGAAGAGTTCATACTGGTAGGCAACCGTCCAATAGCTCCGATCCTGCAATGGAAGGAATTCAATGGCGCCGACCCAAAGAAATTAAGCCATTCAAGCTTGAATGTCTGCTTCCTAGAACAAAGATCCTAGCTGAGATTTACTTGGAAAAATAACAGGATCACAAGTCCCGGGTAGCAATCACACCTATGGATCTGTGTATCTGACAGTCACAGCAGAGGCCTAGCTGGTCGGAAATTCCATGGGGATAATGTCCAGTTGGCAACAGAAGGATGTGCTCGTGTCTCAACGGCTCAATCCTTCCATCTCCAAGTCCGACCATTTGATCAAGATCCGTATTCTTCAGCGATTACTGTTTAGAGTTTATTCTTGTGAGTATATGTCGGTCATGATGCAACTATACGGCGCGGGGCTCTCATCCTGCCTGAACATGACCTCCCAGAGTGAGGTACTCCGGTCATGTCTCAACCTGGCCTTATGACTGCCTTACCCTTCTTTCGGCCTGCATCATACCATTCGAAGTTAGCTTGTTTTCTATCCTAGAACCGTATTACCCCCCTCTTATATATACCGTTGCGTTTGACGATACTGTCGATGACCGATGGGGATCAAGATGCTATCGCCCGTACGGCCTCCAACGATGCTGGCTTGTGATACACCGCCACAAAGACAACACAGCTAACGACACAGCCGACCCATTCGAAGCAGAATTACATGTCCCTGGTCCCGACCGCAGCGCTGGGCAGGAAGAAGCAGTCACACTTAAATATCAGCAATGAACCGGCCCCATGGTGCGAAGAGGAGGCAGCCTCCAGCCAGGCTAGCACTTGAAGACTCCAAAGCGAGAGAACCTTTTAGTCGCTGACATTCTTCAGTCTGAAAGTATCCCGGGAACGACATGGTGTTTGCCGATGAATTTATGCCTGGTTCCTGTCATTTTCAGTTCACTAGGCTAGCTCATTCGCTGAGCTTAGTAGACGTGCTTTAATGTTCTTTAATGTCGTAAATCGCCGTGTCTATGTGTTCGTGTCATACTGATACCGCTTCTAATGCCGCAGGAAACAAAACCCAGCCAACTAACCAAGGTGAGAGCAACAGAGCTACGCTTCCATGTCCGCTCATCAACGTGTACACCAACAAGAAATGATAACGCAAAGAAAAAATACACCACCAAATCGAGTCCCGCTCTGCAAAATGGTATCGTAATCACTTGCGCTCCACCTCCGCCGCGGCACTCTCGGTGCCACTCTCTACAGTCGACTCTTTCCTCACACCATTTGAAGCCTTGGGCTTGCCGAAAAGAAGCCCGGGGTGTCCAAGGCACAGAGAAAACACAGCGCAGATAACGAGTCTATGAAAGACATGTTAGCATGAAAAGCCCACCAAATGCCAACTTCGATGGCGGGGGGAATAAAAGACTTACACTCCCTCCAACCCAATGAACAGCCCCTCATTCGTAATCTTATCAGAATTCGAATACCCTTCACTCAGCTCGTCGACACGGTACGCGCACCGCGCGAGGATCAGCACGACCGCCAGCGCCAGGAACCCGAAAAACGTCTTTTCGCGACGTGTCAGCGCCCGCGCGACGTCGGACCGCGT